TAGTATTTATCTTTTATATATTTATTAAAACTTAAAGTTAAAAAATATATTCAACTTTATTATTAAAACAAATCAATTTTCTATTAATACTTAATTAAGGCATTCGAATATTATCAAAAATCGGCCAATATGAGGGACGCATCGGGAACATTTAATGTGGGCTATTGTTATGATGAAGGAATTGGAGTTAAAAAAGATGAACACAGGGCATTCGAATATTATCAAAAATCAGCCGAGATAAGTGATGCAAAGGGCACATATAATGTTGGCTATTGTTATCAATATGGAATTGGAGTTGAAAAGGATGAACACAAGGCATTCAAATATTATCAAAAATCAGCCGAGATGGGTGATGCGAAAGGAGTATATAGTGTTGGCTATTGCAATCAAAATGGAATTGGAGTTATAAAAGATGAACATAAGGGATTCGAATGTTATCAAAAATCAGCGGAGATGGGTGATGCATCGGGAACATTTAATGTTGGCTATTGTTATCAAAATGGAATTGGAGTTAGAAAGGATGAACACAAGGCATTCGAATATTATCAAAAATCAGCCGAGATGGGTAACGCATCAGGAACTTACAATGTTGGTTATTGTTATCAAAATGGAATTGGAGTTAAAAAGGATGAACATATGGCATTCGAATATTTTCAAAAAGTAGCTGATATGGGTGATGTAGGTGGAATATTTGAGGTTTCTAGATGTTATAGGAACGGAATCGGGGTTGCACGAAACTTGAAAATGGCCATGCATTGGTATCAAATGTAAGATTGTTTTGATTTTTTAATCAAATTTATGTTATTATAGCTGATAGAAATTAACAACAATATGTGTGTAAATTGTTAGGGAGAGGAAGCAATTATCAGGTAAATGTAATGACATTATCTTTTTTTATAAATCTTTCTCACTCCGAATCTAATAATCCATCTCTCTAGCTCTGAATGAATCAACACTTAAAAACTCAGATATTAATAATGAGGTTATAAAAATACTTGCCGAAAGCAAATATCCGTTACTCTGGATTCCTTACAATGAATTTAAACACATTTCAAAAATAGGTCAAGGAGGATTTGCAACTGTGTTTTACACATATTGGCGTGATAGAAGTGTTGCACTTAAATTACTCCATGGATCAAGATCTAGTAATAAGGAGTTTATAAAAGAGGTAATATATATTTTAATCATTTTTTAAGCTATTGATTTAAAATTCCTTGCCCTTTTCTTGCATTAAAGCTAAAAGCATATTGTGATATTGGTCATGAAAACCCGACATTTTTAAAATGCTATGGAGTGTCTAGAGACGACGTGTCTAAAGATTACATTCTTATAACAGATTATGCATCAGAGGGTTCTTTGCGCAATAAACTTAATTTAGTAGCACAAACTAAATGGAATGATAGGTTAAAATTGTTAATTTGCATTGCTTCCGATCTTCAAATAATCCATTCACAAAATCTTATTCACCGAGATTTACATAGCGGTAACATACTACTAGATAATTTATATAGTGGATATATTGCAGACTTAGGTCTTTTAATGTCGACTGATGCTGAATCAAAAGGGATTTATGGGGTCTTACCATACATAGCACCAGAAATTTTTTATGACAATCCATATACTTTAGCATCAGATATTTACTCATTTGGCATAATTATGTGGGAAATTTCTTCTGGAAAAGCCGTTCCTTTTAACCAAGTATCTAGAGTTCAATTTCAAATTCAAGTTAACAATGGGTTTAGACCAAATATTATCGAAGGCACACCTCAGTGTTATGTCGATCTTATGAAAAAATGTTGGGATGGAAATCCAGAAAATCGTCCACTAGCCAAAGAAATTTGTAGAACTTTTGCTGAATGGCAAAATAACGAAAAGGCTTTAATGGAATCATGCGATATTGACAAATTATTGGAAAATATGGAAAGTTTTCATGTACAAACAATATGTACCAGCGAATTCGTTTCCTTTGTTCACGGTAAATAATGTACATTATTTCTTCCTTTATTATTTTTTTTTAGTATCTATTAAACTGACGCTGCTTAAATGTTATAGATAGCCAACAACGTAATTTAATTATTAAATAATAGTATGCCTTAAATAACTTTATGATCACAGTTCTATAAATTATAGAATGTAAGTATATATCTTTAAATGTTTGGTACTAAACCTTGGTTTAATTACGTATACTGATACAGTGTAAAAAAATTTTTCAGAAATTTGTGTAGTACAGTATTTATAAATCGGTTAAGCTCCTAATGATATCAAGCCATTTATCAATATCTAAAAGAAGACTGTAAATAAAATTTTTAATTTTATTTTCGGGTATATACATTTCTGGAAAACATGGAAAAATTATTATTCAGATTATACGTCATAAAAATTAGTATAAATAGCATCAACAATCACTCAGATATTCAAATAAATAAGAGAATGGGATTATTAAAATCTAATTTACCGTAATCCTAAAGAAGCGTGATTAATAAATAAAAAATGGTTTTAAGCCAGAAGCAATGAAGATAACTAGTAAGAAGAAGGGTTCAGATAATAATCCAAAAGAGATGACAAGTTTAGTTAAATCTGCGTCTCAGGAGTGAAAATATCTATTTTATGGGAATAATACTACTGTAGGGATGTGAATGCGACATTGAAGCGCGTCGTGTAACAATAGTGAAAATGATGTCAAAATGATTTAATAGCTATAGCATATAAATATGATAGTTAATGTTATACTACTTCGCACGATAACACTTACATTACACCGTGTAACGAGTGACACTTTGAGACGCGGCTAAGAAACCGGATTATCGTCAAGTGAGGAGAAGCCGAAGTTAGCGACGGACTCGCCAGTGACGACAACAACTATAAGTCGTGACGCAAAGTATGAGACTAATGGTGTTTCAATAAGAAAAAAACTCAGTATCATTTTTTTTTAATGGTTATTCCGATTGATTAAAGTTAATTATTGATGGAGTATAAAAAATACTTCTTGGGCATTAAATATCGTTAAATTATTTTCTTTAATTTATCGGAATAGAAGAAATTGATACCGTAATTTTCAATGCAAAATCCTCCCCTTTTAATATACCCCCCTGATATAAGGTCCTGTGATATATAAACAATAATATAAAAGGCCCAAATATTTTATACCGAATTTGGCTAATATAAATCATTTTATTTATTGAATTTTTCGATAATTTTATATTAGTACTAGCATATAGATTTTTGATATTTTTCTAGTTTCGTCACAATAAATTAATAATAAAAGCAAGACTTTATATTTGTTAGTATTTAAATATGTACTTCCTATAGTATCAGTGATTACATTAATTGTGAATCTAAAGTATATCATACTTCACGTAATATGCTACTGATTTGAGTATAGCCTATAATATATTAAAAGTTAGCTATAGAGTCTGTGACTGGATACTTTTACAACATAATGTTTTTTTTGTTTTTTATTACTATTAGGTATATAGATTAATTATAAAACGGAAAATACTTTCAATAATATTTGAAAATGGCTTAATATAAAAATATTTTAAAAAAATATTTTTATATATAATCTTCGATAAATCCTTAGCTTTATCTCTATGTTTAAAGTGATTCTTCTTTGTTTAAACTTTTAAATATAAATAATGCGTAATTATTTTTATTATTGATAAAATAATTTTAGAATTCAAATGAAGATAATAGGCTTAAAATAGTTTAGATAATAATTACATTGTTGATTTAAATAAATTTAAATATAATATAATTTATAATTATTTAAATCGAAACAATTAACTTAATCAACAATTAAAACAATAATTGAAGAAACAAATCAAATTGAATAATTAGTATATTTTTTATGCTATAAATATTGCCTAATTCTTTAAAATCAAAAATAATTATCGATATTATTAAAATTAATGATTTTAACTTACCTTGATAAAAATCCTGAAGCTACAGTACGTAATACAGCAGCAAAATTTCAACTTGAACCAAAACAAATTAGAGATTGGCGAAAAAATCGACAAAAACTTATTCTTGCACAACCACATATTCGTCGTTTAAATGCTGGTGCCCGACCAAAGTTTCCAGAATTAGAAGAAGAACTTTATATTTGGATTAAAAATTTGCGCCATGAGCTTAAATCTGTTAGCCGCTATATGATTCAAATAAAAGCACATTCTTTAGTTAAAAATTATCTTACTATTTATCCAAATATTGACAAATTTCAATGGAGTTCCAGATGGCTTGATGGATTTTTAAAACGGTATCATCTTAGTAATCGTCGTAAAACAACTTTGGCATAGCGTCTACCTGAAGATTTAGAGGAAAAACAACAAGAATTTCTTAGTTTTATAACATATTATAGAAATCAGTTTAATTACTCACCTGCACTAATTGGAAATATGGATGAGACACCGTTAACATTTGATATTATCAGTAATACTACAATTGATGAAAAAGGTGCAAATTCTATAAGTATTAGAACATGTGGTCATGAAAAAACCAGTTTTACAGTTGTTCTCACATGTATGGCTAATGGAACTAAACTTCCTCCAATGATTATTTTTAAACTTAAAAATATATCTCGCTTACAATTTCCAAGTGGAGTTATAATTCGCACTAATCAACAAGGATGGATGAATACTGAAGAAATGCTTTATTGGATTGAATTTATTTGAAAAAAACAATTCAATAATTTACATTCTTTATTAGTATTTGATTCTTTTCACGCTCATTTAACTGATTCTGTTAAAGAATGTCTTGAACAAAATTATACCAATATTGCTGTAATTCCTGCTGGATTAACTTCTAAAGTTCAACCTCTCGATGTTTCAATCAATAAATCTTTTAAATCAAAGGTAAATAAATATAATTAATAATATAATTAATAATATAATTACTAACTAATTAAATTTTTTTAGATACGACAAATTTATAATAATTGGATGACTTACGAAATAAAAAATTTAACACCTACAGGATGAATTAAATGACCAGCTTACAATGTTATGGCAGAATGGGTTAAACAAGCATGGGATGAGATTGATCCAAAATTAATTCAACGTTCATTTAAATGTTGTGAGATTTCAAATAATGAAAATGGAATAGAAGATTCATTAATTTTTGATTACGATAAAGTTGAAAATATAGAAAAAATAACCAATAATATGAATAGTATAGAATTTAATAATAATGAAATAGAAAATTATGTTTATAATAGCAATGAAGAGAATGAGTTTAGTTTATATTATTCTTTACAAGAAGCACAAAATTATAGTAATTACTGGAATTAAAAAACTACGCATTTATTAACATTTATATATTATAAGATCTTATTTTGAGGGGTATGATATTTAGCGTGATAAATAAAGAATTTTTAATACTAACTATATTTAGTATAAGTGATTTGTAAGATACCCTGGGTCTTTTACAAGGAAAATTACGGTACTTTGCCATCAACATAAATGGATTGTTTTTTTTTTTTATGTTAAACTCTAATATAATCAAAAAATCAATAATTACAATAATCGATACCTATGGCGAAGAATATATATATATATATTGTTGTTTCTTTTTTATGATTCATTAAGACATAATGAACAGCTGTTGAATAAAAACTTGCTCAATCACTATTTTGATCTTTATAGCCATTTTTCTATGGTTTATCATCCGCAGTCTAATAATAATACAGTACTCCGAAAAAGAACTAACAATTAACAGCTTCGGCTTTTGAGATTATTAGACAATACTGAAGAAATGATAAATATTTGTTACTTTAGCTTTTGCTCCAAATAAAAGATATATGAAAATTACTGAGCAAAGTATCCAGCTAATTAAAAACTCGACATTACTGCGTTCTGTGTATTTATTTATCTTATCTCAAGTGATTCTAAACGTTACTGATTCGCTTTTGAGTAATGGTGAGGTAAATGTAGCGTACTTAGTGACTATATTAGAAATTATCTTGCAAACGCTTAGAAGAACTACACAAGCCGGACAACGAAACCTTATTCAGTGAACTATTACAAACTATCTATACTCTATTATATATATTAATACGGACAGGTGTTAAATGTATTAATCGTGAAACTACACACACCATTGTATCAACAGTTAAAAGGAATCTATCATTAATTTATTATATCCACTACGATTTTCAGGCATTATCATATTGTCAAGTGATGAGAATTATGGCAATAGGTCATACGTAAAGTGCTAACTGGAATTATAAATTTAGTCAACGCAATTAAAAATTTATGTCCAAGTAAATTACTATTAACTAAGCTATTATTTCTTTTTCAAAAAAGAATTTGTTCAAATATACTGTATTTGATTTAGGATTAGTAAATCTTATTATGTTATATTTCCTGCATTTGAAAATAAACATTCACTAGAGGCTAATGTTGCAGATATTAAAAGATATTTACAGGCAAGTTTGAAATATTTGGAAGTCTCTCTTAATTATTAATTCACTAAAGAAAACAACCGGAAGTTGAAGAAATTTTTAATTGAGCAAGATAATCAGTTACTCCATTAGTTTATAAATACTATAATATAATTAAAGCACCTGCATAACGAGTGAACTTTCTTTTTTAGGTAATTTTGAAAATTATTACTCAAATTTAAATTCAAATTTGTAACTTAATTTTTAAATACTGTATATTGATTGTTTTGTTTTTTTAATTAAAATAAATTAAGTGATTTGCAATAAGGATTCAGTAATGTTGCCAAAAAAAATTAATTTTCGAAGAAATTTAATAATAATAAAGTAAACTTGTACATAATATTTTTTAATCAAATTTATAGCCCCTTCACAATTTTTAGATATTATTAGTAATTTTGCAAAATTTAATAATAATAGTTTTTTATATTTATTTAATTATATTTTTGTTGTCAAATATAGTTATATTTGTTGTGAAACCAATAGATTTAATAATATTTGTATTCGATTTAAGATATTGATTAATAGTGTAATAGTGTAAAACACAAAATTAATAATCAAATAGTTGGTTTCTTTTAAAAATTTCACTAATTTAGCAAAAGATTAAAATATAAATAAAATATTTTAAATTATATTTTATTTAATTGTTGTTAATTTTTTTTTGATATTTAATATCAAATTAATTATTATATTAATAGTATATTGTAATTTTATTAATCAATTCTATGCAAAATTAAATAAGTTCAATTATATTTTAATATATGTAAATAATAATCTGTTTTATATAAAACTTGATATTTATTTTTTTTATAATTTTTATAATTTTCTTTGTTTTTAAGTCATAAAATCAATCAATTATTTGATATATACAATAGATATTTTATATAAAACAAAATTTTGAAAATTTTGAAAATTTTTAAAATAAAATTTTATTATCTTAATCTTTAAAAAAAATGTAATTAATTAACTAAATAAAATATTTTAATATTTAATTAAAATAAAATAATTAAAAATATTGAAACAATATTACAAATATTCAAATTCTAATGTATAACATGTTATAAAGCCTTTTATATTTATAATAAATTTCTATTTTCCTAAATAAAATTTAAATTATAGATAATTTATCTAATATAAAACATTTAAATATTCAAATAAAAATTAACTCAATAATAAAATATAAATAAAAATATTTTTTTAAACATGATTTATAACTTTTATATATTTAATCTTAAATTAATTAATTTTAAAACTGATATTTTTATATTTAATTTCAAAAACTTATTTGTAAATTCTAACTTAAAACTATTAAAAAATTAAAAATTCTTATAATTCAAAATATAATTGACATTTTTTTTATATTTTTGCAATTTTAATAAATTTTCAAACTTTTTATAATATAAAATTTATTAGTTTATTACTAATATATTCTTTTATATTATATTTAGCTACTTATATAAGCTTTTTAAAAATCTATTTTAATTTATTAATACTTTTTTTATTTAAAATAAAAAACTTTTATTAAAAACTTTTAAATAAAAATATACAATAATATTTAAAATTTTTAAAAAAATTTTAAGTAATAATTATTAAATAAAATTCTATAATTACAAAAGATAAATGAATTTTTAACATATATAATTGTATTATATTTATTTTATAATAATTTATTTGTTTATATTCTCTCTTATATATAATATTCTTTATAAAATATAATAGTATAAATATTAATATTTAAATATTATTTTCTTTATATAATATTATAATTTAAAAAATTTTTTAAAAATAAATTATATAATATAATATATACAATTAATCAGTTTATTAAATAAGTATTTTTAAAAAATTGGTCAAATAGTTACTATAGGAAAGCTAACATTTAACTTATTGTACTTATATATAAGAGATATTATTTTTTTTACAATATATATCTTGATATATACAAACCAAATAAAGAAATAATATTTATCTACAAAAAAAATATTTTAAAAAATATATAATACTTAAATAAATAATAATTTGTATTAATAGTTTCAAAAAAAATTTTAAACTATTTATTTTACAAAAAAATATAAAGAAAAATAAATTAGTAAATTCAAAACACTTTTTAAAGAGGTTTATTCTATAAATAAACATTATTTCTTTATTTAATATTGTATATAGGTAATTATTTTTCAAGGTGATAAAAATACTAGATATGATTTTTTCAGATCCAGCTTTTAAATAATACATATATAATATAAATTTTAGAATTACACCAAAAAATTTTCTGTCCACTTTTGAAAATAATTACCTATATAACAAAGTATACATCATGAAAAAAATAATATCTCTCATATAATGTATATTGGCTCTAATCAAATTATAATTCTATATAATTATTAATTTTATAAAAATAATAATACATTATATCCTAAGATATTATTATTGTCTTGAAAGAGAAAAATAAAAATTGTGACAATTTAAACTTGCAATAAATAGGATGTTTCTATAAAATAAAAATAATAAAAATAGAATAAAGAAGAATATAAAAAAATAATAAAAGAAATAATAAAAGAAATTAAAAGAAAATGAAATTTACAATCAAATATATTGAAATAGGTAATTATTTTTGAAGATGAACTAAAATTTAAGATATATATATATTACCCTAAAATTATAACTCTAAATTTCAAATCATGTGATATTGATACTTATGTGATTAATTTTATTCTGAGTTTTAATTTTTGTTTTTAATTTTTTAATTAAAATAGTTATATCTTTAGAATTACATAATTTTATTTAATAAATAAGTATTTGTTTAAAATCTTAGGTCTTAGGCATTTATATAAAAAAAGTTTATTAAAATTAAATCATTAGTTGTTAAGAAAATTATGTAATAAAATTGTCACTGATTTTCATATTTTAATTTTTCAGAAATTTAATTTTTTAACAATAAATTAAAATGTTAATATCTTTATTACTACATAATTTTATTTAATAAATGAGTATTTATTTAAAATCTTAGGTCTTGAGTATTCATATAAAAAAAGTTATTAAAATTAAATTATTGGTTGTTAAGAAAATTATGTAATAAAATTGTCACTAATTTTCATATTTTAATTTTTCAGAAATTTAATTTTTTAACAATAAATTAAAATATTAATACCTTTATCACTATGTAATTTTATTTAATAAATGAGTATTTATTTAAAAGCTTAGATCTTGAATGTTCATATTAAAAAAAGTTTATTAAAATTAAATTATCGATTGTTAGGAAAATTACATAATAAAATTGCTACTGGTTTTGAAATTTAAAAATTACAAATATTCTTTTACATCTAATTTTGAAATTTTAATTTTCATTATATCTTTCTTAAATCTTAAAAAACTCATTTCTTCTTTATTAAAATCTCATAATCCTTATTATTTACCTTTTAATTCCTATTCAAAATCACAAAAAAATCTTATTACATCAATTTTACATGATACTGCTTCACAATTATCTGGTAATCAACCAGACAATTATATAATTATTTTGCAAATAATTTTTATATTGGAAAATCTTTTTTTTCTAATTCACAAAATAATTCAAAAACTATACAAATCCTTCATAATATTATAACTTTGTTTCTATCAAATATAAATCTAACATTTTATTATTAATTGCTGGTTTATATAGTAGATCTGAATTAAAAAACATTGGTTTTAATTTTAGCAATAAATAATTTTCTACTGTTCTTAAAAAATCCAATGATAACTCCTTTAATTTAAATAATTATCAAAGACATATTTCTACTTCAAAACTTAAAATTAATAAAGAAACTTTTGAACTTATTATTGATTTTTTTTTTACAAAATTCAAGATTATTAACTTCTTTTTGTCAATTTATAATACTTTCTTTTTCTTTAAATAATACAAATCTTGAT